TAGCTATCCATCAGATAAGTGCCTCACATCTAAAATATACTTAGAGCTCAAAAAATTAAACCTCCCCCAAACAAATCCTGATAGAAACAACCCAATTAATAAATGGGCTAAAAGACTTAAGAGAGATTTCTCTAAAGAAAAACTAAGAATATTCAACTTCTCTGGCTATAAAAGAAATGCAATTCAAAACAACATTGAGGCCTGGGAAGGTGGCTCAGTGGTAGAGTGCTTGCCTTGCATGCATGTGGTCCTGGGTTCAATTCCTCAAAACCAAATAAGCAGAAAAACTCGCAAGTGGTGCTGTGGCTCAAGTGGTAGAGTACTAGTCTTGAGCTGAAGAGCTGAGGAACAGTACTCCGACCCAGAGTTCAGGCCCCACAACCAACCAAAACAAAACAAACAGAAACACAAAAAATTCAACATTTAGATTCCACCTCACCCCACTTAGAATGGCCATTTGAACAAAAAAAAATGGCAAAACAAAGGACAAAGGGGTAACCAATTTAACAGTGGTACTCTCAAAACAATATGTTGGAAATGATCTGTACAACTTGGGGGGGGGGGTTGAGTGGCAGGATAGTGGGAGAAAAATGAAGGAGGGAGTAACAAGTTTGACAAGAAATGTACTTAGTACCTTACTTATGTAATTGTAACCCCTCTGTACATTCCCTTGATAATAAAATTAAAATTAAAAAAGAGAAAACTAACAATAACAGAAGCTGATGGGATGTGACCAAAATGGAATGCTACTATACTGTTAGTGGGGATGAAAATTTGTTTAACTAAGCTGGGAAGCAGTGTGAAGTTTACTCAAAAGACTAGAGCTTCCCTGTGACACTGCCATTACACTCCTTGGCATTTATCCAATTGACCACAAATAAAGCCACACTAAAGCTACCAGCACAAACATGTTCATTGCAGCATTGTTTACAATAGTTAAGATAAGGAATCAACCCATTTTCTCCTCAGTAGACAAATGGACCTAGAACTTGTGGTATATATACACCATGGAATTCTATCCTTCCATCAGAAAGAATGACAATGTCCCAAGCAACACAGGTTGCATTGTTTCCCTAATTTGTAGTAATTACAATGTCATTATAAATCTATAAGTAAGCACAATGGATACGAAAAGCCAAAAAAATTACATGAGGATATGATAAATTAAAGAGGACTCTAAACATTCACACAGAACAAAAGAAGATATTCTTAGGAATGAATCATGAAGGCTCAATAGCTATGTGCATATGATCATATAAAATGATCCTGATCAAAATAAACTCCAAAAATGGAAACAAGAGGGTTACAAGACTTTCTCCCCTGTTTTCCCCTTTTCGTTGTGGTTTCTGATTTTTGTATGTAATTTCTTATATGCAAGTTTATCTGATTTGGGCAGGGTAAGGCACAGAAATGGTGGGACAAATGAACTAATCCAGCGGTGATAATCACTAGACACTATGTTGAAAATGAACTATACAACTCGTAGAGGAGGGGAGATAGGAAGGAACAAAACAGGAGAAAACTAGAGAAGAGGTGACACTGTTAAAAAATGTACTCATAGGGCTGGGAAGGTGGCTCAGTGGTAGAGCGCTTGCCTTACATGCATGAGGGCCTGAGTTCGATTCCTTAGCACCACATAAGCAAAAGGAAAAAAGCTGGAAGTGGCGCTGTGGCTCAAGTGGTAGAGTGCTAGCCATAAGCTGAAGAGCTGAGGGACAGCGCCCAGGTCCAGAGTTCAGTCCCCACGACCGGAACCCCCCCCCCCCCCCCAAAATGTTCTCATTACCTGACTTATATAACTTCCACCGCTCTGTATATCACCTTTAAAATAAAAATGAAAATAAATATTAAAAAATCCAGAGATGGAGCTGTGTTACAAGTGGTAGAGTGCTAGCCTTAAGGGTTATGTTAAGGTACAGTGCCTAGGCTCTGACTTTAAACTAGAACAAAAATAAATAAATAAATAAAGACACTACTAGAGATAAAGACTTCTGTCAACATAATAGGTTCTAAAAAGTCTTTAGATTGACTCTCAAGTCTGTGTATCTCCAGTTTCAAAGAAACATAGACTCAAAGAAACCTTGCATGCTGCTATCATTTGTTGTGTGCAGTCACTTCATGATTTCCAGGGATTTCTATGTGACTCTCTATCCTGAAGGTACTGGCTGAGAACAAACTTGTGGTTTCGAAAGACAGAGATTATTAGATGTACAACATTTAAGAGAGTGGACTTCAAGATTATTTTTTAAAGATTTAGGGGACAAAAAGCTAAAGCTCTGAGTCAAGGGTCTGGTTTTAAAATAAAAGATAATTTCAAACTATTTTTTATTTACATATATATGCATTTATATATGATATATATATGACATATATATATCATATATATATATGATATATATATATATATATCTAGAGAGAGAGAGAGAGAGAGAGAGAGAGAGAGAGAAATATGTTTCCCTTTCTAATCTGGTTGGCACCAATGCTTATGGCTGAGCACCAGCATCCCAAGTGCTACAATTATAGTGTATACCACTATAATTGCTTACAACTTAATATATAATGTAACCTACAACTTAAAATGTTAATTTCTTAGATTGCCAGGAAGGAGAAATATTAAGGTATGTTAAAGCATAAAGATAATATAGAATGTTTTTAATATAATAAAACTATGTCTGAGGAGATGGGCCTCAGTTTTCTTGTTTCTAAAGTAAAATAGCAGTCTGAAGGAATTTTCTTTTATTTTTATTTTTATTTTTTTTACATCTCATTGTTTTATTTTTATATACATACTCTAATAGTACAAGGAGCTTTTATGTCAATGATTCCATAGTTAGGAAGAGTATACTTTGAACAAATTCACCTCTTCTTTTATGTACCCTTTATATATATAATATATATGTTTTTTAATTGTAAAAATACTGTACATAGAGGTTACAGTTACAAGGAATTTCATTTAACATAATGGGCTTTAAGAAATCTGAAAGGACCAAAGCTGGAATGAAAACTTCAGTTTGCTTTGACTGCTGGGCAGTATTGTATACTCAAATTTCTGTTATCATGAAAGTAGTCTGTTTCTCTCTACATCATGGCTTCTTGCTGTATAATATGAATGTTGGAACTGAATTTGTGGTTTAAATTAATTTAAATAATCACATTTAACTAGATAAGGAAAATGTGGTATATATACACAATGGAATTCTATGCCTCCATCAGAAAGAATGACATAGCCCCATTTGTTAGGTAATAGAAAGACTTGGAAAAAATTATATTAAGTGAAGTAAGCCAGGTGCAAAGAAACATAGGTCTTGTGGTTTCCCTTATTTGCAATAATTGGTATATGTCTGAGACAAGGAGAAACGGTCAAACAATTTGATGTTCGGTGAAATGAACCCCAAGGTAAGGACCCCAATTTTTTTCTTGCTATTTTTTCTAATATATTCATAAGATATTTCTTTGTTTCTGTGTTTAAATACTGATACAGGTGGACCCTTTGCAACAATGAAATGTACAAGACGTTATGTCGAAAAACAAACTTTACAACTTTTCCTTGAAGGGGAGGCTTCAGAGGGGAAGAAGGGTGGGGGGGGGGGAGAATGGGAAGGGATAATAAGGAGAAACAAAGGAGGAGGCAACAATGCTTGATAAGAAATGTACTCATTACCTTGCTTATGTAATTGTAAGCCCTCTGTATGGTACTTTCACAATAATAAAAAAATAAAAAGACAGGAAAAAAGAAAGAATTTGAGCTGATGGCTCATATCTGTAATCCTAGTGACTCAGGAGGCTGAGATTGGAGGATTGTGGTTTGAAGTTAACCCAGGTAGGAAAGTCTAGGAAACACTCATCTCCAAATAAACACTAGAGAACTGGAAGTAGTGCTGTGGATCAAAGTTATAAATCATTACCTTGAGTGAAAAAGGTCAAGAATGGTGCCCAGACCCTAAGTTCAAGCCTTGCAACTAGAAAAAAGTTGTACCATATTAAAAGAAGTAAACATTTATTTTCAGGTGTCGTTATTGGCATTTCACTAAAATTCAACCACTTTGTTTTACACAACAAAAGAGAAAATATTGTTTACAATTTCAATTTTTTGTTTCTTTTTAATTTTAAAGTACCTGTACATGTACATTTGAGATATAAGAGATACAATCATTTAGATCAAAAGTCTGGGCTCCAATGAGTCAAGAAAACAGAATATTCATTGTTTCTAAATGATTAGTCAGCAAACTATGTTAAGTAGCACTATTAAACATTTACAAGAGGAAGGTTAAGTTTCAGGAGTTTGCCCAACTCTGATGGCTAAAAGTAAATAATGAGTTATAATGTCAATGTCTAACACTAACAAATATAGTACTATTAATTTTTATTAAGTTGATAAAATCCAATCAAGGACAATCTCAGCAATTATTTCTTCTACACAGTATTTTAATTTATTAATCTTGCTTTTCTTCTTGAGAGAATTTAGATGTTATGTTAGAATTCAGATGTTATGTTAGATTAATGATAAAATAATATTCCTTTGCCTTTTGACAAAAGTAAATGCTCAAAAGAGGACACAGGAACAACTGTATCTGTGCTGGTCTGGGAACTTGAATTGAGGATCTGGTTTTTTGTTTAAGGCTAATGCTCTACAACTTGATCCATAGCTTCAATTCTGGCTCTAATTTACTGGCTCTAATTAATTAATTGGAGGTGAAAGTTTCATGGACTTTCCTGCCTGGGCTGGCTTTGAACTTGCAGTCTTCACATGTCATTCTCATGAGTAGCTAGGTTTACAAACATCAGACATCTATGACCAGCTCAAAAATGTGTTTTTGCAAATGCAGTTAAATGAAATTCAAATCATACACATTAACATGCTATTCCACAATACCAATACGTGCCTTTGTAAAAATGATAATCATCTAATGCAGTTGAAGACATGGTAATGCTAAATACATATAACTCTAATAAAAAGCAACATTAGGTTTCTAGTTATTAAGTCTTCAACGTCGATTTACCTACTGGCTTATGAGCCTCTTAATAGCATTTCTCATTTCTTTATTTCTCAGTGTATAAATGGCTGGATTTAGGAGAGGTGTAATTATAGAGTAAAACACAGCAAGAAATTTGTCCATCCAGATGATGTTGAGTGGCCACACATAAATGAAGAGGCAGGGCCCAAAGAAGAGAACCATCACTGTGATGTGGGCAGTGCAAGTAGACAGTGCCTTAGATGCTCCAGTTTTAGAGCTTTGGTGGACAGTGATGAGAATATATGTATAGGAGATCAGCAACAGAATAAAGCATGTTACAGCCACAACACCACAGTCAATGTTCATTAAAATCTTTATCTTATATGAATCCATGCAGGCAAGGTTGATGACCAGCGGTCTATCGCAAAAGAAGCTGTCTATTATTTTTGGCCCACAGAAAGGCAGCCGCACAACCACCATCATTTGACTTATGGCATGCACAAAGCCCACAGTCCAAGCTGTCACCACCAATCCAATGCACCTTTGCAAGCTCATTATGATTGAGTAGTGAAGTGGTTTACAAATGGCCACATAGCGGTCATATGCCATTATTACAAGTATCACCATTTCAAGCGCTGCAATGAAATGTGCAAAGAAGATTTGGTACATACAGCCTCCAAAAGAAATGGTCTTTTTCTTCTTAAGAATATCTCCAATCATTTTAGGAGTGGCATTTGAGGAAATCCACATATCAACAAAAGACAGATTGGCCAAAAAGAAATACATAGGGGAATGAAGACGAGTGTCTGTGATGACTAAGATCATGATGATAATATTTCCACAGACAGTGATTAAGTAAAGGAGTAAAAATATAATGAAGAATAGAACCTGCATATTTGATGAGTTCCCAAGTCCTAGAAGTATAAATTCATGCACTACAGATTGATTTTCTGTGTCCATTCTATTTGCTGTGCTCTATGAATTAACCAAGAGAGAAATATTAATTATGATTAGTAGGATAGGAAAGGGCTGTCAATTTCTATAATACAGTAGTTATAATATAATTTAGCATCTACTACAATAATAAAACTTATAATTATCATTACATCCTAAAGAGAAACTAAATCACCTCATAGTGGGTTTCAAGAAGTAGAAACTAAGATGGGATTCAAGAAGTAAAAACTAAGCTTGGACAGTACTCTCATTTGAAGCATGTGAAGAAACCTAAGTAAAACTCAAAAGAGCAATGTATCATCTAAAATTTAGGTCTGGTTCATTAATCTAGTAAAGAGAATCTAGGTGAGACTTAACCAAAGCCCATGTATTTAATGTATTTACTAAATTCATGAATTAATAAAATAATTAATTTTATTAGTATTAATACAATATTTTATTAATTAATGTATTAAGATTATTATGAACTAATCTGTTTTCCATTTGTATATATGTACAAAAGAGGACAATTATAGAGATGTGTTCTGAGGAGTGATCAAAAGAGTGACTGTTAATACATGCTAATTAGGTTGTTAATTAAAAATTACATTTAAAAAGTAGTTTGCCCACAGTAAAATAAAATAAAATAAAAACTAGTTTGCCTAAAATGTTGATGATCACAGTAATGGTAACTGAATATGAATGTAAAATTAAAAATGTTTAAGATAGAATCAATGGGGTATAGAGAAGGACAGGAGAGACATAAGAGTAAAGGGTATTTATATATGCATACACATATGTATATTGTACATATATGTAATGAAAACCAACAAATATTGTTTGAAAAAAAAGAAAGGAAAACAAAGAAATACAAATTCTTAGTAGGGTGGAAGAGATACTTTGTTCAAAATATACCATATGTATGTATGACAATAATCACAGTGAAACCTCATCATCTTATAAATAAGTATTGACTCAAAGAAGAGTACTTTCCAAATTTTGACAAAAATAATGATTGTATATATGAGCATTTTCTATATATAGAATAGATGATAAATATTCTTGAAAATGCTTGCTATTTATATTTTCTTTAAATTAACATACACATTTAACATCCAGTTAAATTATTCAAGTGAAAAGAACACAATTTAATGGGCGCTGATTTTCAGGAGCTTAAATTATTCACTCTTCACTGTTGTCTTCTCAGTGGGTTTTCCTATATTTAATAAGGTTTACAAGAGCCAATAGGAAATTCCATTATACCACATTTCAACTTTTTACTGAATTTAAAAAAAAAATTGGATTGAATAATTGGCAAACTAATTTCCATTGCTGGAATATAAAAATAAAAAGAATAATTTTTAGCCATTCTAGATAAAACACATTATGAACATATTTTCTCTTACATTAAATCTGAAATTTTGTGTGATTCTAATTTGGATAAGGTAAGGTAAAAGATTTGCCAGAGGCAACTGAGGCAAATTGATAGGATATACAGGGTGCGCAAGGTAGGGGAGGTTCAAGATTCTTCTAGGAGCACAAGATGCCCTCTTCTATTCTCCATGGTTTTAATCTAATTTCAAAACTATCATCATGTCTCAAAAATATAGAAACTTTTTGCTTTAACCTATTTCCATATCAAAAATTATTTTCCCATGCAGTCACAAATCAGAAAGCATCTCTGAGAGCAAATTGTAAGATTCTGACCACAGAGGAGGAAGAAAATGTCTAGACCGTTTTACAAAAATATCAGGAGCTACACAAGACATTCTTAGCTCTAACTGTAGTGAGTATACATGAAATAGAAACATAAACATATTTTAAAGTGTATCTGAAAAAGGGAATGAGAGAGATGACATAACTCACTAAACTCATTTTGTTCTTTGATTAGATTAGCACTTAATCTTCTCTTCTGACCTGTGTTGAGAAGACAAACTATCTGTGGAAGGACTTTCCCTTACCATCACACATATTCACCACATGATAAAGTCCATTGGGATTAATTTTCCTGTTCTACATATAAACAAAATAAAATATAGAAATATTTTTCCCTTAGACATCTCTTGGGAGCTTCTTTTATAAATGATGAAATATGTTGTATCATTTTGAAATAAAGGCAGGGAAATTAAAACTTTCTCTACATAAATTTGTCTTTAAAAATTAGTAACTTAAAAATGAACGTGCATCTGTTGTATCTAATGCAAAAGCTATTTGTTCTTTGACCTTGATCTATTATTTGTTTTGACTACAAATGAAATAAGTCAAATATATTTTTCTTATTGGTACCCTACATGGTCATCAATACACAGTAAAGATAGAGTTTCCAAATACAGTTCATGGTTGTCCAAATAGGCACAACTGCTTGGTCATTTGACTTTGATTAGTTGAGTTCTTTAAGAGTTATGTGCTTAATGGTAAAACATTAAGGTAATGATAAAAGTATCTTTTTTCCAAAATAAACAAAATAAAATCTATTTCAAAAGCTAGGTGCTGATGGCTCACATCTCTAATCCTATTTACTCAGTAGGCTGAGATTGGAGGATCACGTTTTGAAGCCAAATGGGACAGGAAAGTTTGTGAGACTCTCATCTCCCATCAACCACCAAAAAGTTGAAAGTGGAATTGTGGGTCAAGTGGTAGAGCACTAGACCTGAGCAAAACTTGCACAGGGACTGTCCAGATGCTGAGTTCAAGCCCCAGGACTGGCATCAAAAAAGCCTATTTTAACATACTAATATATCACTTTTTGTTGGTACAATTGGCATGTGATCACTTGAGGTTACTTAGGTGTACAACTTACTAAGTTTGACATAAGTATAGGTATCATATAGTTTTGAGCATCACTGTCAAGACTTAAACAACAACATATGCTAGGTTGCTTAATTTCCCTTATTTCTTGACTATCATTCTTCCTAAAAGTTTACTTTTTTGACAGCAGTTAGATGCCGTTGTTCAAATTATTTGGAGGACAAAGAAACCCAATGTTCCCTTTTCTTCTTTTTCTTCCATTTTCCTTCTACTCCTTTTCCTTCCTTTCCCTCCCTTTTCTTCCTCCTCCTCCTCCTCCTCCTCCTCCTCCTCCTCCTCCTCCTCCTCCTCCTCCTCCTCCTTTTCTACTCTTTTATTTTTCTGCCAGTACCCAGGACTGAACTTCAGGAATCTTGAATTTATTTGGCTTTCTTGCTCATTGTTGCCATTTTAGTATTTGAAGTATACCTTCAGCCGAGCTTTTGAGTGAGTAAGTGGAAATGGATCCTCAAGGACTTTCTGTCCAGGCTGGCTTCAAACTAAAATTTTCATTTTCATCCTACTGAATAGCTAATATTGCAGGTATCAGCCAGCTCCAAACTCTCAATCTCATCTTTTAGTATATCTAGGAGAATTGTCTTCCTGCAATTACTTTAGGAATTTCTGTTTCTGTTTGAGTTAGGCAGCAAATGCAATGTTATTTTGAATACAGCAGATAGAATATAATTTTGGATAGAGTCAGTGAGATTTGTATTAAACTTGACTGTTATTTGTTTCTTATCAAACTGAAACAGCCAACAAGTCATCTCATAGTCTTGTAAATCAACCTGACTGAGACACTTTATCCAAATGTGACTACTAATACTGATGATTTGCTATAGCCACCATTTCTAGATATATTTTATAGGCCCTCTAAGTTTCACAGGACATTGTAGGTAAGAAACAAGGATGAATATTCTGAGATACATTAAGTCATCTTATTCTAACCTCTAACATAAAATATAGAGTATGAAGTATAAGTAATATTCTTTGTGATTTTCAAATGCCTTGCTTATTACTGTAATTCAAATGTCACATCCCAGTTGTCTTCTTAAAATTGTATAGTTTGAATAAATCAGGTTTTCTAATCAATATCTTATGTCTAATCTTTACTATACTTCCATTCATATTCATGCAAATGATAATGGTCAGGCACTGGAGTCCTCATGCTGAAAATGTTTCTATTCAATCCTGATGAAATTTGAAGAGCTTTGTAATCCAAACTACAAAGGAGGAGGATGCATAGTGAGTGTGTGTGTGTGTGTGTGTGTGTGTGTATGTGTGTGTGAGAGAGACAGAGAAAGAGATTAAAAACTCTTATGAAATAGAATAATTAGGAAAGAATATACACTTTAGAGAAATTTGCTTGCCTGGAGCACCTTGAGACTTTAAGCAAAATAACTTGGTTGTAGCTACAGGAAAAGTTTTGTCAAAGAAAGCCAGAGGAGTGCAAAAGTGTCTGTATAAAAGTAAACTAAGATATTTTCTATTTAGTGTCCTATGAGAAACAGACAGTGAGTACTCATCCAGAGCATGAGAGAAAGGAAAATATCTCACTCAGTGGAGCTGTAGCCTACAGAAAGAAAGCAAGATTCAATGAACTCCATAAAAACAAATATCTGTAACTTGGGGAGATATAGTATAAAATAAGAGATGAGCAGTCCACACAGCAAGCAGTCACTTGTGAAAAGATTTTCTTCATTTCCAGATTTAATTATTGCCGTTATGACAGAAAACCACCTTAGAAGGTGTCCTACCATTTGTCTTAACGTTGGAACAAGGAAGGAGATAAAAATTCCCTAAAAATGTATATCTCCAAATCCCAAGGGCTTCTCTTCACTGGCTCAATTGGCAGCTACTCTAGAGCCTCTGTGGTCCCAGGAAACTTAATTATGACTTTTGAACAATTTAACAGACACAAACATATGTGGTGGGTACAGAAAGGAGAAGAAACAATTTCCATTGAAAAATGGAGTCTGCTGGGCACTTGTGCCTATACTAATCCTAGCTATTCAGGAGGCTGAGATTTGAGGATTGTGATTTGATGCCAGCATGGGCAGGAAAGTCTGTGAGACTATTATCTCCAATTAACCACCAAAACGCCAAAAATGGAGCTATGATTCAAGTGATGGTGTGCTCGCCTTCAGCAAGAAAAGCTCAGGGACAGCTCCTTGGCCCTGAGTTTACGTTCCAAGACAAGTACAAAGAAAAAAATGAGTCTGCCTCTAAAATATAAAGCC